TGGTGTTACTTCTGATTGGATGACAAAGTGGCGTGAGTTTTAAACCAATCGTGTAGCATAGTAATGCAGAACCAAACCAAATCAAATCCGAGTTACTTTCGTAGTCTGTCCGCAGACGCTCTATTTTGTCTTGAGTTCATCGAGATCGCAAACTTAGCTAGCAAAATATTAACCCACCGGGTGGGATATGAACGAGCCAAAAAGCAAGGGGGTAGCCCTGGGGAAAGACAAACATAGGATAACTTTTTATTTTTTGCGCCCGGTTCGCGGCCGCTTTCGCACGGTCGCATCGCTCAAGCTCTGGAAGAAAAATACTGACTTGAAGCAAAAAAGAAAAATAAGTCTGTAGACCAACTATACCTCCGACACTCAGGTGAAAACCGCTCTACAGGTTTGCAACGAGTTTCTTGTGACAAAACCGGGTGATAATTATGTAATTAAGTCGGAGACACCGTAGGCCGTCCGCTCCTTCATGCAATATCTGCCTGAATTGATTACCGAGTTAGACTTTGTCCCGAGATGAAAAGGAAAGAAACTCAACGTGTAATAAAAAGAGGATAATGAAAAATAAGTTATTGAGTCCACAGCCTTGTTTTTGTCAGTGTTTAACATATACGAGGGGGGCGTAGGGGAATATATATTAGAAACCGAAAAAACGCGGGAAAAATCGTCCAAAACCGCAAATAATCAATAATAATAAAAATAATCAATAACCAATCTTTATTTGTACTCATTCTTGCTAAAGAAAAAGTTACGATTTCAATGAAAATATTAAAAGTAATAATTTGAGTACTAGCATAGGGGCTAGCGGAGCCAGGCAACCAGTTAACATCAGCATTAAATAGAAATAAAATACAGGTCAGCAAGAAAACTTGAGCACAAATGAACACACAAGAAAAAAAAAGATGAGGGAAAACGCTATTTCTATGCTATGAAGGAAGTCTAAGATAGTTTAAAAAACCGCAATAAATTTCGGTCAAAACCGAAAACCAAAATAAAAGCCCTTATTGACAAAGCTTTGGTAGGCTTCAAAATCTCTCTGTCTGTTATTTGATTTTTATATGTCTAAACTTGTTTTACTTTCCAAAGTTCTTCCTACATCTTCCCTCATTAGTACAGAACTCGTCGTAATCTAAAAAATTGCTTATTTATTTGTAAATTGGCTCATCAACGAACCCATAGCAATGTGATACTAGAAAAAATTGCATGGAAAAATGATTTTAGATAATTTTTTGTTTAAAAGAAACACCACATTCTGAAATTGCTTTTGGATTGCCATTGTCAGAATTTCCATTTGTGTAGACACAATGGCAGCCGTATTTTACAACCAAACTACGTTATTTTACAACCCAACAAACAGTCTCTCCTTTGCTGTTATTACACGTAAACGGAACGAGTGAGTTCAATGTTACTCCCGCCACGAAAAGGAGAGACAACTCGCAATCGAGCAATGAGAAACTCGTTGGTCCACAGTCTAAGGTCAAGGTCCACAAGACATTATCCCAGCTGCTTGATATTTGAGAAATAGTCTTTTGCTTTGATGTTATCTTTAGCCTTTCATAGTCTGCTTGGCAGCCGTTACGACCCAAATAATGGCTGCGAAAGAGACAGGCTTGTCATGTATTCCTCTAAAAGAAAGTTTCGGTAGAAAGCTTCTAAGAGGTCACTTAAAATTACAGTTTAACGCGACTCCAGGGTGTAACTTCCACGGCAAAACCAGAATAACTATAAAATGCATTGGACAGAAAAATCCGAAAAACCGCTATTATTGTTGACAAAACCGAAAAGCAAAGACTAAATGGAGAAAACCAGCAAACCGCGTAAGACACCAAAACCGAAAAACCGCAGTTTTTAAGTGAGAAAACCGAAAAACCGAACTAAAATTCGGCCAAAATCCGCAAGACCGAAAATCCCCAAGGCCCCCTCATATACTAAAAGCTCACGTCTTTGATCCTTGTACTTAAAGTTCAATAGCAGCAATGGTGCGCAGGGGAACAGTGGGGGCAAATAAGTGAGATATAATCGTGTACGAAAGAGGTTGCGCGGTTATCAAGTACGTATAAAAGTTTTCATCCCTACAGACAGTAAACAAAATTATAGATAATCTTTGATCAGTTTGAAATCGGAATTGAGCCATCTTGGTCTGGCCTAGTTTTCTCCCTCCCCTGCCCCCAGGAAAGAGTGTATCTTAGGCCAGTATTGCAGTCTACAAGCCCAAAGTACCACGAGGCAAGAGACTAGCATAAAGCAAGTGTTCTTTCAATTGCTTAGCAATACAAAAAATATCTATCTGGAAATATTTCAACCTCTTGATGAATATAATAAACACATCTCAAAATACATCTCAAAAACAGATCTGGACTTCCAATCTCTTCGGTTGGAACTTAACATGGTCACAAAATATGATTTCAGTTCGTTTCTTTTTTATTGCGTCGGAATACCTTAATGACGTCACCAGCAGATACATATATATATATATATATATTTATAAGAATATTGCTTTTCCGGCCGAGACTGAACATTCTTATTTTTCTCCGATTTTAGGCTGAAAATGTTCTTATGAATATTCTCAGATTACAACGTATGACATTTCAGTCTGTTTTCGAATGTATTTGGTGTCTGGATGTTTTGAAAGTAATTTTGGAGCAGGCTTATTGGTATCGAACGCACGGCTAGTGCTGTTTTTGTTGATTTTCGGCTAGTTTTGCGGAATAGAGAAAAGAAGAATTTTGTACGTTTTAATTAAAAACAAATTTTGTACTGTATTGACGAATCTCCAACACAAAAAATTATATTCCTTTCAAAATCTCAGCCTCGGGTTTATTCTTAAAATATATTTATTCTTATAAAACATATTCTTATATAATAAAGAGAGAGTGTAATACAGAGACTTAAGGAGGCTCGAAAGGGTTTTTTGACCGCGCGAAGAACGGTTCCCAATGTACACGCGAGCAAATTACCCGCGAGAAAATCGCGCAATATCGCACGCGATAACATGCGTGTGCGAGTTGTAAACAAACTTAAAAATGCCGGGTCCCTCTTATGTTTTCGATGAAAGTGACGATTATAGAAGAAAAAATGGAAAATTTACCTCTCAGAAACAGTCAGAAAAGAGCTCAAGTGGCACAAAGCCGGCCGAAAAGGGGCGAAAAAGGATATTTGAAGAGCGAAAGGAGGAAGGTGAAGTCGGCAGCACCGCATCAAAAAAAGCGCGACGATTAATTGCGATCGGTAGGTCACATTTTGTTTTGCACAACGTTCAAGTGGAAACTTCTGAGCATTTGGATCTGTTAAATTCGTAATTAAAAACAGTAACCAACAAACGTTCCTAAATAACTCGCAGGAAGNAAACGTACCTAAATAACTTGCAGGAAGCTGAAAAAGAAAATCAAAACAACTTTGGGTCCAGGATCGTGAACTTGGACAGCTTCATGAAGGAAATGGACAAGTGCAAATCTTGCCATGAAGGTAAACATATTTCACAAGCAAACACAATAAAGCTAAGCCTTTATTTAAACTTCAAAATATTTACAGCAATTACAGACAGTATAATAAAAACAACATACACGTGTCGTGCAGAATCGGTTTCCCAAAGAATGACAGCCAACAAGAGGATTCTCTCCGTAATACTTCGCCATTCCCAAAAGTCGTAACGGTAAGCAGTATGAATCTTAAGCATTGATTATCTTCTGGAATGTTTAACTCCCCAGAACGATGCAAAACGCTCTCGTTCACTGAATGAGATCGTTCTAAGCTTTTCGGGGTCTCCTCGCGAGGATGAGCCCTTGAGTCAGTGGCATTGTTTAAGACGCGTGACCGAAAATAGGAATGTGTGCTAAAATAGCGGAAACCGGAAGTAAAGCTTGTTTAATTTGGTGATCTAATATCTCGAAAGTTAGCTCGGTGACCTACCCTGATTTTCTGTATGAAAAAAAAATTCGTTATTTCGCATTCGTTAAGAAAATTTAGAAAAAAAAATATCTTGTGGAATTTTTTTTTCGACTTCCTACAGCTCTTTTATAAATAAATCAAGTTCTACGCGATAGTTTTCCCACATATCACGTGTTAGACTAGAGCATTTAATGGGGTTTTCAAAAATTGAAAAAAAAAAACTAAGTCACCGAATTGGTTTTTGAGCTACTTTTGAAAAATTGAGTTTGAAAGGGTCTTTTTGCAGCACTGTACCGTTGCCATAGCAACCGTTGGGACATTGCAAACACCCTTAAAAAATTGTACGATAATAGTTTTATACAGATGACAAAACATTGCTCTTCTGATAGGGACAACAGTGTTGTAATCTTTCTTCATTGGACATGCACCGTTAACCGCGGAAAACCCCTTTGAGCCTCCTTAAGCTTCTACGTGACGAGCGCAAATGACAGAAGGGTCCAGAAACTATTTTAAGCCTTTTTACTAGACTTCCTCTGGACAAAATTATCTTGAAGAGTTCCTGTTCCTGTTTTCAATTGAAAGTGAAAGTGCTTCCGGTAAATTTGATCTCAGCTGTTACTTAAATTTGGATTGGGTTCAAGTTCCCTTTCTGAGGTATAAAAGAAGATCCTTCACAAATGTAGTAAACTGTACGCAATCACTTCAGGAGGTCGCACGGGATCTATTCTGGGAATAATCAACTCATCAGGCAGATCGTTCGAGATGACTGAATCACTTAAAGAACATCTGATAAACCCGGTCCATGAAGATGATGACAAGCCGACTTCGCTGCAATCCTTTCAACTGGAAGAAATCAGGAATCAAACAGAGGAATCTGGCCATTCAAACCATGATCGTTGCAACCTATACGAAGTACTGAACCCTGGGAAAGCGAAACCTGCTCAAGGATCAAATCGCGCCTTGTTCGCCCTGGTTATCATTGTGTGCTTAATATCTCTCTTGGCTCTTCTGCTGACAATACTGATGTTGGTCGGGAAAATAGGCTCCTCAAACGAAGGTCAGTGTACAGGCTAACTGATGCTAGACAAAGCGAATTGTATAATCACCCGGCAATAATCGCACTGTAACCCAATCTCACACTGGTAACCCGGGCCCTTCGTAGAACGCCCATTAATTGTCTCTTCTTTAACAGAAGCTTAGACGCTCTAAGAGCGTTTACTCGGGCTTCGTAACGCAATGGTATCAAATCGTAGTTTATGAGTAAGCCTACTGAACACAATAAAAACCAATAAAAGAATCCCGATACTTTACCACAAGAGTTGCGCCTAATATTTACTATTCAAGTGTCATCTATATCCAATCGCATGTAGTTTGCCTCATCTTCGAAGTTCTGTTGACGACGATTCTTTTTTTTTCATTATCTGAGGTACACGTCTCAGCATCATAGTTTGTTTTTTAAGTCAGTGTTTTTGTCAGTGGTTTGGTAGTTCGAACTCGTACATGTCTCATTTGCTATCTCGTGAGAGGGAGCCGAGCGTGAAAACTTTGCTTACTTGTCAGGCTTTCAAGCAATATAATTCGTGGACTGACCCGTTCCGCCGAAACGATCGACATCTTTATATGTGAGATGAACGTATAAGACGCGATTTCTTGTCAAAACTTTCTTCAGGAAACACCGCATTCTGTATACAGAAAGATGTCGCGTTCTCACTCCCAGTTTTCACGATCTACGCTGGAAACGCCTAGGACCGTGACCCCCTTTTGGCGACAAAGAACGGTTTACATTTTATGACTCCGCAGTTTCCTACGGAAGCCCGAGTAATGAAAAAAAAAAAAACAAAAACAAAAACAAAAACAAAACAAAAACAAAAAAATAGCTGTGTTTACACGAGGCCTTTTTTCCTAAGGAAATACAACTTTTCCCTGCAGAAATGTTTTTTTTTTTTTTTCAAGTGTAACTGTTTTACACCAAGATAACTGTAGCGAACAAAATCGAGAACTGATATAAACCTTTGAAGCCACAGTACCAGCCCTACTCTATACAGCAAAAACTGCATTTTTGGTGTTATTTAAGGTAGAATCTGATAGAGACCGTGAATATGACCAGACAATGCGCAGAAGAGTAAGTTTCAGGTGCCAAATCCGCGAAGCATTCGGAAACGGAGAACTTAGCAGGAAGCGTCTAAAACCTGAAAATGACACGTTCAAACAGCATCAGCCGTCGAACCACTCAGAGAGGGAATCGCATTACCTCCAAAATGAAACAATAATGAAACAGTAATCGATCAATAATATAATCAATCAATAATCTGTATTGGGTAACTAACATAAATAACATGGAAGAGCACATCTTGGCGAACGATGAATTGTTTACGAAGTAGGTAATAGCCCAATTCCGACTCTGTGTCAAAACGAATCTTTGTACGAAATCATGATTGATATGAAAATTAGTTCCGCCTACAGGTTCATTTTCACGTAAATCAAACTCCTCTTCATATTGAAAGGTTTTTTTTTATTATTTTATTTTGTTTTATTGATACAAACATATTACAATATTGCAACAGATTACAAAAGTAGTGCAAAAAAGAGGGTTGTTACAACTGATAATATTCTAATGAAAAATAGTCGATAATG